TCCATAAAAATTACAGATTTTCTAAAAACGCATTTTTGAGTGAGTATTATGTTTCCTTGTTTCTTTTTTATATTCACTCCAATTAGAAATTTTATGTACCCCGCAGTCACTCACTTTCTTCAATAAAGATTATCAGGCCTCCATCCTTTTCCAAATTATCAGTTTCCACCAGCACTTCCAGCATTCCTCCGCGTTACCACACTCTTTATATAGCTGTTGTTGATATGCCACAAAATGACGTCATTAAAATCTTGCGAAATTTCCTGCTTGAATATTATTGTATCATAACCGCACATAAAATGTATTTAATTATTTTTACTTTGCTTTTAATGAACTTTTCATTAATTCTTATATTTACGCAAGCAAACGCRCAGCAATAATAAAAACAACAATTCTAATAAGCAAGCATGTGCAGAAAGTAAACGAGCAGAGTTTATTAATTTGATGGCAATGAGTAAATACCAACACACAGACGCACACACACACACATTTGCGTTCCTTCATGTGTGCGAAATACATTAACTGCCACGTACAAAGCCACAATTTCACCTACTACCACCTACATTGACTTGCAGCAAAGTAATTGCAGTCACAACATGTCGCCAATACAAAAACACTTTCGCCCATTCGCCATGCACCTCATTCGCTTTGGCATTTCGTCTTTCTCCTCTTTGCTTTTTCRTTTGCTGTGCTTTGCGGTGTCATTGCCATCATTAATGCTGTTTTCGTGTTGTCGTTGTTGTTGTTGTGTCGGTGAGTGTGGTGTTCGTCTCCGCCTAATGACAGCATTGATGCTTACGACGACAATAATTTTTGTAGTTATTACAGTTATTACGTTGAAGTGTATGTAGACGCTCTTGCATTTACTCACTCACTCTTGCCTTTGATGAAGGTGGTAGAAAAACATATTAGTAACTTCATATACCGGGTATGTGGTGCATGTACATATGTGCCACATACTTAATATATCGATGCTATATTGGATTGTGCTGTGGTAGGGTTCCGTACGTGACTGCCTGCCTTATGGGTTGTAGGTTTGACTCACTTTTATAGTARAGGTTCTTCTTGCAGCAAAATGCTGATTTTTATAATATAGGTGTTATATGATACGCTGTGTGTTGAAGTGTTTCACTTCCGACCGAAGTAGTCATCGGACTAATTTATTTTTAGACACATAATTTCTATTCCTTACATCTCTACTAAACTACTTCTCTTTTCACTATTAAGTTCGAATGCAGCTAGAATTATCCAGTTGTGCACTAGTATWTTTCCTAAATGTTTTGCTTCATGTTATATTATGTTAAGATAATGACTTTTTTATATTTTTCTAATGGGTGTATCAAGTGGTATGAACTTTGTTATCATCCACCATAGATGATCCAGCAAAATTATACTGACTTTTCTATAGCTGAACTTATGCCTCTAGGTTAATTTGAAGTATTTTGTTYATCCTTAAATCAAGCTCCAGCTTAGGGCTCCACCTGCAATCAACAACTTTAATTTTTATAGTACAATAGTTCATAACAAGCGTCCGGAAGGAGGTGTGTTTCAGCTAAGCCTCCAAATGCCATTGTTCGAAAATCAACGTCACAAAATTTTCAAATTTCAACTTCAAATTAATATCATATTAAATTCTTGAAATAATTAACCTGCTTTAGAGGCTTCAAGACATCAATTTTTTTGCGGATTTTTTTTTTGGGAGGGAAAAAGTAATTGTTTAAAGCGAAATTTCTAGGGTTTATATAACTATATATGTATATTTAAATATCATTCACAAATTTATTTCTATACGAAATCTTTGAAAATTTGCCTTTAGTCAGCAACTRCGCGATGTATCTCGCATGTGCATTTGTCGGACGGCGTGAAAAAATTAAACTAAAAAAATTCCGAAAAAAAGTATAAAATTCTAAATTTTTTTAAAAATTGAAAGAAAATGTGGGTTTTGACCAAAAAAATTTCGSTTTACTTTTCTAAGTTTTTTTAGTTTAAATAGAATATATTAGGTTGCCAAAAAGTCTTGCGGTATTTTCGCTAGTTGGCGCTGTGAGCGCGTAGTTCTAGTTTTATTCGTCGCATCGGGTCCTGCTATACCTTTTTGGAAAGCTCATTTCACGCGCTAACACGTGTTTGATTTATTGTCGTTTCTTTTAAGTCGTTCGTGAGTTATAGCATCGCAAACATGGAGCCAAATAAGGAGAACATACGGCATATTTTACAGTACTACTACGATAAAGGCAAAAACGGTTCTCAAGCCGTTCCATTTCCACCACACAACGATGGTTTCAACGTTTTCGTTCTGGTGTAGTGGTGGTCGAAGATGCACCACGCTCCGGAAGGCATGTCGTCGAAAATTGCGATAAAATCGCTGAATTGGTCAAAAGAGACCGGCATAGTAGCAGTCGTGCCATCGGTCAAGAGCTGGGCACGAGTCATCAAATTTTATGAACAATTGAAAATTCAATAAAAATACCGCAAGACTTTTTTTGACAACCTGGTAATTTAATGCCAAAGATAACAAACTTTGCCCCAATTCCATACCACGTTTAGTTTTTTTTCTATCCTGCTCGCCAACTGAGAATAATCGTAAAAATTAATTTAAAAAATTATTGCCCAAGCGCTAATATATAGTATATGCTAGACKCGTGGTCACTATTTCTCTTCTAGCTTCGAAAATATTTGAATTCCCATTTATAACTTTGGGGACTCTTAAAATATTTTTAAAGAGATTTAAGCGAAAAAAAATCGATTTTTTAAGCTACTAAAGCAGGCACCGCCCCCGACGTTTCTATATCAAAACTATTTTGAACAAATTTCAGTTTTCGACTTAAATATTATATTATCGACTTTAATTTCGAAAAAAATACAAATTAAAATAATCAACGATCACCATATGACATCAATTACATTTTCAAATTAAACTTAACACTAACGCGCACACCTAGTCAGGTAGTCAAAAAAGGCGGAAAATTKCCTACCACTACTGCAATTGTTCCGGCCTGCTCCGTGGATGAAAAACTATTCACTACAATATATATTATTCGATCGAAAAAAGATACAACTTTTAAAAACTGACGGTGCTTTTAAACTACAAATTTAAATTAACTCAAATCAATTGGCTAATTTGAATTTGCCGTATGTGGCCACGAATACAACTACGAAGGGATGCCAAAACAGTTTGTATAAAATATCGATGAACTGTTTGAAATACCAATGAAGAACTGATCGAACGGCATTAACTTTACTCATATATAATATGTCAACGGCAATACATTCTAAGAGGAATCACAAACCTTTTTGTTGGCATCATTATAAATTTTATATTTATAATATATATATTTATTTATTTTAATTAAAAAAAAACCTGAAAGTTGTTAAGGGGTCAGTAAGGTAATCTGGCCTGTTATTTTGACATTTTTTTTTTTTGTCATAGAAATTTTAATTCTACTATTGAACTTTTTTCGCATATCATGAGGTATATCGTGGAGTGTATAAACAAATTTTTTCGGAAATGTTTGATGACATCTGTTGGAGAAATCACTGGCGCTGTCTCTTATACACATCTAGATGTGTATAAGAGACAGAGTTGATTTCTCGGCTCTGGAAAACTCTACGTCACTGCCAAAAAAAAAAAAAAAAGTTAAGAAAATCGGTTGAGTACTTCGACCGGAATCGTGTCCGCTTGTTTCAAAAAGTGTGTTTTGAAAAAGCCACGTTTAAAGTTTCAGGTGTGCACTCCGACAAAAAATAAATAAAAAATTATTAATTAAGAGTAATGTCGCAGTTTATATTTTTTTCTCAAAATGGCGACTGTCTGAAAGAAAAACTGAAAAATMATTTTTAGACCACACTTTTTATTGTTTCAAATTTAAAACAAAAAAAAAAAGGAATTAATTTTGACATATGGCTACTTGCAAACATAGAGAAGTTTTTAAAACAAATTCTCTAAAAATTTCAGGTAAATCAGTGCAGTAGAACCAGAGCAATCGCCAAGATCTTTTTGGATATTAGTTTCCAGTTAGGCGTGTTTARAGTTGCGCGCACTGGTCGAACCAGTTTGGATGCCAGGTCAGTAAAGCATCCAACAAATATCGCCAAAAATAATTTGGATTTAAGAAAATGCGCTCTTAAACGTATTCTCAAATAATTAAACCTTGAAATATTTAATAAAACAGAATATTTATTCACGACTCGACCAGAATACGTCCACAAGTCAAATTTATTATTGGAACGAAGTTCTTTATCGCGCGTGTTGCGACGGGGCTAGCCGAGAAATTGTGTCCCATTAAATCTGAGCGTTAAATGCCTACGAATAGTGTGTAGTGGTAGCGTCGTTTGCTTTGTTTGTGTGCACGTGTCAGTGTTTACTATACCTCCAAATACAATTAATGTGGTTGCGTTCATAAACATTTTCATTATGATTTCGTGATAAACAATGGAAAGAGAAGGAAGTGAATTGAAAAAAAACGAAAATCACGATTCGGCACCGAAACCGATGTAAGTTTATAAATAAATAAAAAATACCAAAAAAATACCAAAAATGGTGAAATTAAACTGTTCATAGCAAAAAAATTAATGTACATAATTTTGTAATTTATAACTTTTAATTTACAGTGTTGAGGAAATACTTCAGCAACGAGGAAAGAAAAAGGAGGCACGCTGTGTAAAGACAATACAATCACAGTCATTACATTTGGATAGCCAACAAAAAGGGGAGGATTACCAAACGAAGAGGAAAACAGCCGCGCAGTACCAGAAAGAATATCGACAGAGACAAAAGGAGAAGAAAAAACAAGAATCAGAAGGATTAACCTCGGTTTATCAGGAAACCGAGACTCAAGGACCGAAATCATTGAATTTGGATAGCCAACAAAATGCGGAGGGTTACCAAACGAAGAGAAAAATAGCCGCGCAGTACCAGAAAGAACATCGGCAAAGACAAAAGGAGATGAAAAAAATGAATCAGAATCAGCAGCACAAAACAAAGAGACTTTGGGGGAAAAAATCTACCAAAACAAATTAAAAGAGCAACGGGAGCGTTCTAAACTAAATGAAATCTTATTAGGAAAAAAAAACACAGTTTCACTGCACTCGTTCAAGAAGGAGGGAATAGCGAATTCCAAGCCCCATATCAACAGCTTATCAGCTGTGCACAGCCCGAAGCCATTTTACATCAAGACACGAATA